TTCAACAAATTTAATACCTAAGAAATTATATCACATTCCAAAAGCAAGAAATATATACTCGTAATAAGTATAAAATAGTTTCTATAAATATTAAATAAAATTAATACAACTTAAAAAATAATATATTCTGAATTACTTAAAATATATTATTTAAATAAAAAATATGTTTAGTATATACATACATATGTATTATTAAGAAAACAAAACAAAATAAATTAAAACATTATAAAATGCTAAAGGAATGAATATTATTATTCGTATGATATATATTAAATTATGAATTATTGAATCTAAGATAGGAATACCTAATGTCGTGCGAAAATATTAAAAGTTAAATATAATATTATTAAATAATTTTTATAATAAATTCTATTTATATAACAGTTTATAAAAAATAAATTCTATGAACAATAAATTCTAAACTTAATAACAATAATTCAAAATTAAAACCAATACCGCATTTGAAATCATATGTTTATTATCAGGGTTTGAATTGCTGTGACTATTTTCAAGCAATTATTTTTGACTACGAAAATAACATAAGCAAAATGCAAATGCAACAACAAAAAAGCAAATTATTTCCATTAACTACAGTTAATGCTTACGGCTCTACGCGATTGCACACATTTGTATTGTGTGCGGTTTTGTTGTTGCTTTTGCATTTTGCTTGTTTTATTTTCGTAGTCAAAAATAATTGCTTGAAAATAGTCAAAGCAATGCAAACCCTGTTTATTATTATCATATGTGCCTTTCAGTGGCGTAACTACAGGGAAGCAACTGGAAGCAACGCTTTCGGGCCCCCGAATTTAGGGGGCCCCACTATAAATTTTTGTATTCATTGTATTTATTTTTAATAAATTCTCAAAAGTGGGACGAAACGTTTTTTGTTGGAATAACTTCATATTGCATTTTATAAAAGATACGTAAATTTTAAATTTAAAGTACATAATATGTATGTACTTCAAATAAAATATTAAACCTATTTATAAAATAAAAAACTTTTTCTAAGAAAAATCGAGAGCTTATATGGAAGCTATATCCAAATTTAAACCCATTTGAAAATAATTTTGTACGTTGTCTTTTGCAAATATCAGTACTGTATACACCAAATTCCATTTGAATACCTTTATTAAAAACGGAGAAACCTCATATCCGATTGTTAAGTTTATATCACAGATACAAGAAATAGACGTCCAATTTCAATCAAACCAAATGGCTTCCGAAAAGTATGTGTGTAAACTTTCGTTCGAAGAGTTCAAAAGCTGAGAGAGTAGTTTGAACTGAAAAAGTATATATATATTGTACTGATATATACTTAATGATATTTCCGACGTTTCCTTTAAAGCGTTACGAAAATCTTGACAAACCTTATATATCCTTTTCACATTTTTTCGTGTAAAGAGTATAAAAAGAGGGGCCCCTTAGTATGTTGGTAGGGGCCCCTTAGTTAGAATTTGCTTACAGGCCTAAAAAATGTAGTTACGCCACTGGTGCCTTTATACTCTCTTTGGTTTATATTTTCTCACTAATGCCACTCTGAGAATTTGAATGAAAATTGAGCCTAAAAAGGGTCTGTCAATAGACCCGCAGTGTGACCAGCGAATTTGTTCCCGATGCACACTGTAAGTATTAAATATTCATTGGCTCAGCTATTATTTGGTCACCTTTTTCATATCAAAAATACAATAAATATTTCTCTTGAGGCAAATTTATTTTTATGGATCACATTCGATATTTTTCGTTTTAAATGAGCTGATTTATTGATAATGAACTCATTTAACATATACAAAAGATTTTGCTCTGGTTAGATTATCAATAGCTATGATCGCTAAACCGCCTAAATAATAAGATAAGATAATATGAATGTGCTATTAGTTCAAACACAAACAGACTGACACCAGTTGCTTTGGATATAGGTTTTAATAGAATTTTATTCATGGATTGGTATGGATTGGTTTGAAGAAGAAAAAATAATGGAAAAGTCTATATATCGTTATTGGTGCTCTTGATAATATACAGTGAAATAATAAAATTCAATAAAATAGTACAAAATAAAAGACAACAATTAATTAAATTAAAAATAATATTTATATGCATTTTGTTTCAAAATAAATCATTTTAATAAGAAAATAACTTAAAAATATTTTTATGTATTTAATAGAAAAACGAAATAATACATTTTATAAAAATAAAATGCTCCTCGACTAAAAATAATTACGCAATTAAGTAATTATATATAAATTTCATATTTAGCCTTTAGGATATACTGAACTTGTAAATATTTAAGACTAAAGAAATAAATCGTCTTTAATGTATTATAAAAAGCAACGCCAGCTAACAACTTAAAAAAATCGTTATACTCGGAGAAAAATAATGATCCTGCATACTGTGTTAGCGGTGTTGTGAAGAATATTATAAATAATATACCAATATTCAAATTGATAAGTGATTCTTTAAGAACATATATTACATTACGCATATGTCCGCCCTTGAAAATATTATATATGAATAAATATTTTTCAACTGTCGGCATTTTCTCTCTAATGAACTTTAGCTTGTATAATGCAAGTCCCAACATATTTTCATATGATCCTAGTTCCAAGTATACCACAATGATCTTTGCAAACCACAACAACATTTTTCTTGTTGTGAATTGAAGTTCCTCACGCCTTTGTAGGGCCAAAGCAATAACACTCACCATCGACAGAAAGTTGCATACTGCCATAACCTGAATTAAAAATGTATATAACTCTACTAAATAGTGAGTGACCTTTTCAAATTTGACCAAAAATAATGATTTCTCCGTCTGTGTCGTTATATAATTTGCACCACAAAACTCGCAATAACCCTTTTCGTCATCGCATTTCAAACGTTCACACTTAAGTAAGCACAATTTATGAACAAACTGCGTCTCCTCAGTGCACTCACAGGGCATTAATAGTTCGTCATGAACGGTGTAAGGATCACCATCGCGACACACACGGCAAAAAGGATCGGCCAAATTGCTTACGTACTGAGGAAAAATTAATTTGATAAAGTTTTTATTTTAATAATGATGTCTCTTACCATGATTATTGACAATTCTTATTACGGTGGTATGCTACTTTCCTGTGTTATTCGAGTAGACTCCTCTGTGAAAATAAATAAGAAACAAAATGTATTCATTGCAAAAGCGAATATAACGAAATATCGAAAAAACCTTATATAGAAATCACTATATAAAATCTGGGTACCTTTATCTATATCTCAAGCAAATTGGTTAAAACAAGTTTAATATCCAACCACAATTCCACACACTATATGCCAAATGACAAAGAGAATGCAAACTTCTGGCGCCTTCTAATTGTCGAAACGTAATGATGCCACCGGATAAGAGAAGCTATGATAGAGTTTTGACATTTTTTCGTAATAATATATTTTCGTGCACTTTTAAGTGGTATGAAGACTGGACTTACGTGATTTACGCACGCTTACATATTAATTTTATTTCATTGTGTAAATACTCGTACATAAATTTTAATATTTATAAGTTATTTTATAAGAATCAGCTGATAAGCTCTACGTTATGAAAAACAATATGTTGTATTATTCGTACCGAAGTATACATAAAAGGAGACGTAAAAACCAATTGAATTATGGTGTCTTGACGTAAACATGAGAGACATCTTATATCGGTTTTTCCAAATATTGAGACATTTCAAATTATTCGTGATTTTGTAACAAATCAAGTTGAAATCAGATAGATTTTTATGGGAATTTTGGCAGCTAAAAACCGAACGAACACCATAATTCAATTGGTTCTTACGTTTCCTTTTATATATACTTCGGTACGAATAATACAATATATTGTTTTTCATAACGTAGAGCTTATCAGCTGATTCTTATAAAATAACTTATAAATATTAAAATTTATGTACGAGTATTTACACAATGAAATAAAATTAATATGTAAGCGTGCGTAAATCACGTAAGTCCAGTCTTCATACCACTTAAAAGTGCACGAAAATATATTATTACGAAAAAATGTCAAAACTCTATCATAGCTTCTCTTATCCGGTGGCATCATTACGTTTCGACAATTAGAAGGCGCCAGAAGTTTGCATTCTCTTTGTCATTTGGCATATAGTGTGTGGAATTGTGGTTGGATATTAAACTTGTTTTAACCAATTTGCTTGAGATATAGATAAAGGTACCCAGATTTTATATAGTGATTTCTATATAAGGTTTTTTCGATATTTCGTTATATTCGCTTTTGCAATGAATACATTTTGTTTCTTATTTATTTTCACAGAGGAGTCTACTCGAATAACACAGGAAAGTAGCATACCACCGTAATAAGAATTGTCAATAATCATGGTAAGAGACATCATTATTAAAATAAAAACTTTATCAAATTAATTTTTCCTCAGTACGTAAGCAATTTGGCCGATCCTTTTTGCCGTGTGTGTCGCGATGGTGATCCTTACACCGTTCATGACGAACTATTAATGCCCTGTGAGTGCACTGAGGAGACGCAGTTTGTTCATAAATTGTGCTTACTTAAGTGTGAACGTTTGAAATGCGATGACGAAAAGGGTTATTGCGAGTTTTGTGGTGCAAATTATATAACGACACAGACGGAGAAATCATTATTTTTGGTCAAATTTGAAAAGGTCACTCACTATTTAGTAGAGTTATATACATTTTTAATTCAGGTTATGGCAGTATGCAACTTTCTGTCGATGGTGAGTGTTATTGCTTTGGCCCTACAAAGGCGTGAGGAACTTCAATTCACAACAAGAAAAATGTTGTTGTGGTTTGCAAAGATCATTGTGGTATACTTGGAACTAGGATCATATGAAAATATGTTGGGACTTGCATTATACAAGCTAAAGTTCATTAGAGAGAAAATGCCGACAGTTGAAAAATATTTATTCATATATAATATTTTCAAGGGCGGACATATGCGTAATGTAATATATGTTCTTAAAGAATCACTTATCAATTTGAATATTGGTATATTATTTATAATATTCTTCACAACACCGCTAACACAGTATGCAGGATCATTATTTTTCTCCGAGTATAACGATTTTTTTAAGTTGTTAGCTGGCGTTGCTTTTTATAATACATTAAAGACGATTTATTTCTTTAGTCTTAAATATTTACAAGTTCAGTATATCCTAAAGGCTAAATATGAAATTTATATATAATTACTTAATTGCGTAATTATTTTTAGTCGAGGAGCATTTTATTTTTATAAAATGTATTATTTCGTTTTTCTATTAAATACATAAAAATATTTTTAAGTTATTTTCTTATTAAAATGATTTATTTTGAAACAAAATGCATATAAATATTATTTTTAATTTAATTAATTGTTGTCTTTTATTTTGTACTATTTTATTGAATTTTATTATTTCACTGTATATTATCAAGAGCACCAATAACGATATATAGACTTTTCCATTATTTTTTCTTCTTCAAACCAATCCATACCAATCCATGAATAAAATTCTATTAAAACCTATATCCAAAGCAACTGGTGTCAGTCTGTTTGTGTTTGAACTAATAGCACATTCATATTATCTTATCTTATTATTTAGGCGGTTTAGCGATCATAGCTATTGATAATCTAACCAGAGCAAAATCTTTTGTATATGTTAAATGAGTTCATTATCAATAAATCAGCTCATTTAAAACGAAAAATATCGAATGTGATCCATAAAAATAAATTTGCCTCAAGAGAAATATTTATTGTATTTTTGATATGAAAAAGGTGACCAAATAATAGCTGAGCCAATGAATATTTAATACTTACAGTGTGCATCGGGAACAAATTCGCTGGTCACACTGCGGGTCTATTGACAGACCCTTTTTAGGCTCAATTTTCATTCAAATTCTCAGAGTGGCATTAGTGAGAAAATATAAACCAAAGAGAGTATAAAGGCACCAGTGGCGTAACTACATTTTTTAGGCCTGTAAGCAAATTCTAACTAAGGGGCCCCTACCAACATACTAAGGGGCCCCTCTTTTTATACTCTTTACACGAAAAAATGTGAAAAGGATATATAAGGTTTGTCAAGATTTTCGTAACGCTTTAAAGGAAACGTCGGAAATATCATTAAGTATATATCAGTACAATATATATATACTTTTTCAGTTCAAACTACTCTCTCAGCTTTTGAACTCTTCGAACGAAACTTTACACACATACTTTTCGGGAGCCATTTGGTTTGATTGAAATTGGATGTCTATTTCTTGTATCTGTGATATAAACTTAACAATCGGATATGAGGTTTCTCCGTTTTTAATAAAGGTATTCAAATGGAATTTGGTGTATACAGTACTGATATTTGCAAAAGACAACGTACAAAATTATTTTCAAATAGATTTAAATGTGGATATAGCTTCCATACAAGTCTCTCGATTAAGACACATATTTTTCTTAGAAAAACTTTTTTATTTTATAAATAGGTTTAATATTTTATTTGAAGTACATACATATTATGTACTTTAAATTTAAAATTTACGTATCTTTTATAAAATGCAATATGAAGTTAATCCAACAAAAAACGTTTCGTCCCACTTTTGAGAATTTATTAAAAATAAATACAATGAATACAAAAATTTATAGTGGGGCCCCCTAAATTCGGGGGCCCGAAAGCGTTGCTTCCAGTTGCTTCCCTGTAGTTACGCCACTGAAAGGCACATATGATAATAATAAACAGGGTTTGCATTGCTTTGACTATTTTCAAGCAATTATTTTTGACTACGAAAATAAAACAAGCAAAATGCAAAAGCAACAACAAAACCGCACACAATACAAATGTGTGCAATCGCGTAGAGCCGTAAGCATTAACTGTAGTTAATGGAAATAATTTGCTTTTTTGTTGTTGCATTTGCATTTTGCTTATGTTATTTTCGTAGTCAAAAATAATTGCTTGAAAATAGTCACAGCAATTCAAACCCTGATAATAAACATATGATTTCAAATGCGGTATTGGTTTTAATTTTGAATTATTGTTATTAAGTTTAGAATTTATTGTTCATAGAATTTATTTTTTATAAACTGTTATATAAATAGAATTTATTATAAAAATTATTTAATAATATTATATTTAACTTTTAATATTTTCGCACGACATTAGGTATTCCTATCTTAGATTCAATAATTCATAATTTAATATATATCATACGAATAATAATATTCATTCCTTTAGCATTTTATAATGTTTTAATTTATTTTGTTTTGTTTTCTTAATAATACATATGTATGTATATACTAAACATATTTTTTATTTAAATAATATATTTTAAGTAATTCAGAATATATTATTTTTTAAGTTGTATTAATTTTATTTAATATTTATAGAAACTATTTTATACTTATTACGAGTATATATTTCTTGCTTTTGGAATGTGATATAATTTCTTAGGTATTAAATTTGTTGAAATTTTGAGTATGTACATTTATATCAATGAAAGCGAAAAAATTAATATATTTTAGAATGGCAATCATTTATATATAATTAAAAAAATTAAAGAAAGTGTTGCCACATCATTATACAAATTGATTTAAACGTTTTATTTTTTGTAAGGACAAATATCGAATGCGAAAGAAGTAGAACACAATTATAGCAGATAGGTACTTTAATTAAATTTTGCATTGGGCATTTTTTGAAGATGTTTAATATAAATCCAACAGAAAGAAATTTTATGTGCTGTCTTTCAAAAAGAAGTGTGCAATAAAAACAGTTGATTTACGAGTTCTTATCACATCACAAATGTGTTAGAACAGCTGTAAGTTCCTCGATCAATACAGAAATAAACCAAACATGGAGCTTTTGTGCATTCTAAACTTAGTTAAGAATAAATCAAGGGAAATGACACCATAAATGTTAAACGAAATCATACAAAAAATATATCCCAAGAGGGAAATGATCGAAATTTGCCTTATTTTACACATGAACCAAAATGTGATAAAATAAAAAACAAAGAAGTTAAAGAAGTTAATTAAGCAAGAGGTAAGAATTTTTTAAAATGCTTCTTTTTTACAAATAATATTATTTGCAAAATGTTTTGCATTTTCCGCGTTTTTATAGTTATAATCAATTAATTAATTTCTGCTAAAAATACAAAATTAAATAATATCTCACATATTATTATTTGTGAGATATTTTTGTGCATATTTCACATGCATTAACCAACTTACGCCAAAGCAAACGACCAAATCTTAATTTCATAAATACAAATTGATTTAGCTGCAGTGGGAACATATGCTATTAATTATATATTGGAACAAAAAGGAAATATTGATGAGAATACAAATTCCACTGTATTTGAAAAAAAGTTTATACT